AAGAAGTCGCAATAACAGCAACAGCAACAGCAATAGCAGCAGCAGCCGCAGCCGCAGCAGCTACAAAGTAAATCCAATTCGAACGAAGAAGTTCTAGAAAAACTTCCATATTTTTTTTACAGTTATAATCACTTTTTTTTCCCTCTTGCAATTGATTACTGCAATTAAAGTGACAAATTTTTGTTCGGTGTGTGTGTGAGAGAGAGTGTGCTGCAAGTTTCTTTCAACTGCAACTTCGTTCTTGCGGCCTGGTTGGAGGTTTTCTTGTGGCTTCCTTGCGGTGATATCATATAACAAATTGCCACAGAGAACTGTGGCTAGCAACTACAACACGTGCTGACTGCTCTATCTGTGTATGTGTGAGTGTGTGTGTGTATGAGTGTGAGTATGGCTGTGTGTGTGTGTGTGTGACCTATTGATTCTACAACTTCCTCTGCAGTTGTGTAGCTCAGTGCAGTTCCGTTTCAAGCGGCTTCGGTTGCAACTTCTTTTTAGTGCCTGCCCCAGTTGCCTGGCAGTTCTTCAACATTGCAAGTGTCCAAACTCTTTTTTTTTCTGTGAATTGGTTTTTTGTTTTTTTTTTTTTCGAAGTGATTGTTGCACTTATTTGGCTAATCATCGAGCCAATCAATTCTTGATTGAAAACTGAGCTGCAGCCTTGCGTGACTCGATTGAAAATCAAATTGTATCAAAATTGATTCAATACGAGTGCAGCTATATCCAGACCATCAAACTTGGGCTTAGCTTTAAGCTGTGAAACTTTCATAGATTGGGCTCTATAACCTAAAGCCAGAGCTTCGTATGCCTGAAACTCTAGACAAGTTTCAAATTAAAGTTTGGCTTGAACTATAGAAAAACTATTTGGTCTAAAGATTTTATTATAAATAAGAGAAATAAATTTGGAAAGTAGTGAATGTTTGCCATAGGCAGGCTATACTGTAGTTTTAGGATTGTTTGCTTAGAACAAGCTTAAAAATAAATTAGAATTTTTTTTTGCATTTGTTTATTTAGGTTTCCTCTAAAAATCTGAAAGAATTTAGCTAAAGCAAAGATTTAATATATTTAAAACGCTTTCAATATGATTATTAGTTAAATTAAGTACAGGAGAGAGAGAGAGAGAGAGGGAGAGAGAGAGAGTTGTGTATTTTTCATTGCTTTTTTTGGTTTCTTTTTCAACAAAGTTGCCCAGATTAAAGGTGAAATAGCAAAGAGCCCCAGAAGAACTGAAAGTTGACAAGCAACAAAAGTTGGCAACTGAAATTTGTTGGGGATTCTCACTTTGGGACAATTTTCTTTTTGTTAGATAAAAGTTGCAGTTAGCCAGGCCAAGTGTTCGCTTGCCATAGATGAAAGCGTTAGATACTCTCCAAGATATAGTGTTTCAGCATAAGTTTGAGCTGAAAAATTATTCAAATTTCCTTAGAGTTCAAAGTTGAACGAGTGAAAAGCATTTTGCGTTAACTAGTTTAATTTGAAGAGCACTGGCTTGAAAGGCATAAAATCACTTACGGGAATCAAGGCTCGAATCCCAATTTAGCATGCATCGATGCTGATATATATAAAGATATATAGTAGTCAAATATAAGAATATATCATGGAATCTTGATTAGAAAAGTCTTCGGGAAATTTTCCACTGAAAATGGAAAATGCTTCCTGCACTTGACTTTAGCAACTGCACATTTTGGTGGCATATGCCGCTGAAATGTGACCAAAAATAGCAAAAACTCATTAATCAAATTCAAGGCGTGGCCAAGACCAAGACCCCTCAAAGAGATATAGCCCTATGCGAAATGCGAAATGTAAAATGCAAAATATTGCAATGCGTTTTCCCAGCACTCAGAGCTGACAACTTGGGCATATACCTCATAAGTGGAGTGTGTGTGTGTGTGAGTGTGTGTGTGGAGCTGTGTGTGGGGAGATACAACAAATGTAGCTGCATTTGCCGGCGACTGGCTGGGTGAATCATCGGCCGACGCCGCCACTAACACGGCACGAAGCAATGCCAATGGAGACACTAGCAACAGCAGCAGCAGCAGCAGCAACAGCAGCGGCAACAACAAACTGAAAGGCAGCGTCAGCGGAGCGCAACGCCTGTGGCAAGGGAGAAGGCGCATTGGGCACGTAGACCAGGCACGCGACCAAGTCCAAGTCGCAAGGAGGCAACAACAGCAACAACAGCAACATTGCAGGATTACAACAACTGCGCGACAAAAATATCAAAAGGAGTTGTTCAGCTTGTCGTTGTTGTTGCTTTTCTTGTTTTCTGTTTTGTCTTCTCTTTTATGGCTGTTGTTGCTGCTGCTGCTGCTGCTGCTGTTGCTGTTGCTTTTTATAGTTTTCACATTCAGTCAGGCAACGCCAGCGCCTGATGACGTCGTTGTCGTTGCTGCTTGTGTTGTTGTTGTTGTCGTTACCATGACGCGATGACGACATCTTTTTGGGGGTAAATGCGAGCGTGTGTATGTGTGTGTTGTTGCATATATGTGCAATATGTCGCTGTTGTTGTTGTCGCCAGCAACACGGCCAAAGTTCAATGCATTTATATGCGGAGCCTGTCTATGGCTTTTTATAGCTCCTTGCCTGGTTAGCCGATGTCTGGCCAATGGTACCAGCAGCCTGCCACAGATCGGCCCAGCGATATATACACATATATGCATGTGCACACATATGTCCGTCTCTCAGTGCTGTCATAAGTGCAACGACTGTTGGCGAGCGCTGACAGCAGCAGCAACAGCAACAGCAACAGCAACAGCAAAAAAAAAACATTTTGAAGAGCTGCAAAAATTATGTGTTGCTCAGCCACTCGAGTTGATTGCAATTAAATGAAAGTAACATTTGAAAATGACAGCAGAATAGCCAAGTTATACTTTAGCTGTAACAGTTATAATAAAAGGAATTCATATATTTTTCATCTTCTTCTTCTTTGAGCTCTTATTGTGCGCTATTTCGAGTAGAACTCTCAATTCATCATTGATTGTTCAGCAAACAACTAAAGCTGTATGCGAGTGTAGCTGAGCACACTTAGAAGTAGCTTTATAGATATAAAAGCCTTTGTAGTAGAAAAACTATGGCAAAGCTTCTCTTGGAACTCTTTCTTTATGTTACTTAAATGTTTCAAGAATCTCTTTTGACTTCAAAGAGTCCTTAAGCTATTATGCATTATATATTATTTTAAGCTAAGTACTAGATCTTCAAAATTATGTACAACATAATAAATGAAGTTGTATTTATGTTAAATAGTTTCATTTTTCATTTTTAGTAGCCACTACTATTTTAATGAACAGTTAAATTTTGATCATTTTTCGTTTTCAAGCTCATGTTCCTAGGTTTCTAATAAAAAACATCAAAATTAATAACAAAATATGTTAATATTAATATTCGTTTTAAAGTATTTTTTTTTTATCAATATTTTTAAGAAAAAGGCTGTCTATAGATTGAATAAAGCGATTGCCTTAAGCTAATATTATAAGCAATTTCCAAATAAATTTCTTCTTTTTTCCTGTTCCTTAATATATTTTTAATTAAAGCAACTAGAATTGCTACTTACTAAGTTATAAGCTAATATAATATATATAAAATAATATAATATCCTTATAATATATATCTTAAGTAATCTCCAACTTTTCTTACTTTTTGCAGATTCAAAAATAAATATATTCAACAGCAAACGAAGAAAGCTAAATTAAATATTAAAAAAAAATACCAAAGAAAAAAAAAAAAACAAAATAAAGACATTCAAAAAACAAAAAAAAGTATATATATATATATATAGATATATATATATATATCTAGACGCAACTCAAAGCAAAAAAAAAGAAAACCAAAAATTTGCATGTTAAAAACATTCACATACACACACACACTTATATAGACACATATAAAAAAAACACAAATGAACAATTATTAAATTAAATATTAAAGAAAAACAAAAAAGAGCATTGCTACAAGTAAAAGCTAGTCCAAATCTACAGTAAAAAAAAAAGAAAAATTATATTTAATTGAAGATTAAAAAAAAAAAAAACAAATAATCAACACGCCAATTGCCGCAAAATTTACTCCAAGCAAAAAAAAACACTAAAACATTTATGAAAATTCCCAAAAGTAAGAAAAAAACGAAATCTACATAATTTAATTTCAAGCAAAAAAAGAAACAAAAAAAACTTAAAACTAAAAGTAACTAACACAGCTTCAACGTGTGCACAATAAATAACAAAAAAAAAGAAGTAAAAGAAAACTAACAAAATAACGTAAAATATAAATATTTAATTTCAAATATATATATAAAAAAAAATAATTCCAATTAAGCAAGAAATTTGCAGAGACAAGAAAAAAAAAACCAAAAGAAAAAACCAAGTGAAGAACTCGTAAAAAAGCGCCCAAGTCACGGCCAGCAAACAAAAAGTACAACAAACAAGCAACAAACAGCCAACAAGCAGCGTGTGAAGTGAAGCAGCAAACGCTGCCACGCCCCGTTAGCCGCCCGCCCATTTGGCAAAGCAGTTAAGACTGAGCATCGGCCGTTTTACCGGACAGCGAAATTTCCAAGAAATTTGACGTGCCCGTAACGCCGCGCAAGACAGAGATAGAGACAGAGACAGAGACAGACAGATAGACAGTGCAGAGCGAGACAGCTAGACACACGTATATACTGTGTGTGTGTGTGTGAGAGAGCCAGAGAGCGAGAGAGACAACAAGTACGGCAGAGTTTTAAAAACTCGGCAAAGCGCTAAGCGATACGATTTTTTTTTCAAGTGTACGTCTAGGAATTTTTTTTGTGTGCCCGTGAGTCTGTGAGAGCAACAGCAACAACTGTGATGGGAGATCGGCCAAAAGCGACAACAACCACAACTAATACAACAACATCAACTAGTGAAGCAGCCGCCGTAATGGCAGCAACCGCTCCGGAGGACCCCGCCCAAGCCAATGGGCATGGCCATGGCAGTGGCAGCGGCAATGGCAATGGCAACGGCAACGGCAATGGCAATGGCAATGGCAACGGCAATGGTAATGGCAACGGCAATGGAGGCACCGATCCGCCCCAGGAGCCCGGCCAGGCCCAGGTGTCGACGGCTGAGTTGCCAACGCCCGGCCATGTGGATGGCGACGATGGCGCTGCAGCTGGTCCAAGCGCTGCTGGCGAGGCTGTCGATGATGCGGCCACTGATGCGGGTGCCAGCTCGTTGCCGCCGTCGGAAATTGGCGGTCGCCCGCCCTTGGATACGGCCTGTTCGGATGGCGGCGGCGCCTCCAGCCTGGCTGGCGGCATCGTTGGGCCGCCCAGTCCGTTAACCGGCTGCTATTTGCTGATTGTGATGGGCGAGCCGCACTCCGAGGAGCACAAGGACAACATCTTGCAGCATTTGCTTAAGGGTAAGTGCCAATAGACCCACTCACACATACACTCAGACCACGCATGCCAAGAGCAACATCAAAGTGAGCACGTAGCCACCCGCAGCACCCGCTGCCCAGCCTCCGACATGAGATACTCTTCGTCTAACTCATCAGCATAAATTATTCGCATTGCTCGCATAGAAAGTTTGCATATGCAAATGAGCCAGCCAGCCGAGTAGCTGGCGTTACGGCTGAGCAAATGGCGTCGCGTGCCAATCGAATCCAATCCAATCCAATTCAATCCCATCCCATCCAATCCATGTCCAAATACCAATTGCAATCCAATTCGAATCCACTTGCACCCAATGCAGGCCAATCCACCCACTGTGAGTTGCCCATTTTCACACTTTGCTGGCTGCCGACACGCCGTCTAATTAGCTGAACACTGCACCTGCCCCTGCCCCTGCCTCTGTCACATGCCGCAAGCCTCATGGCCCATGGCTCGACGAGCCACTGATCAGTTTTCATAGTCAATGGGCAGCCCGTGGTTTTTATTTTTTTTCTGCTGCTGCAGCTGCTGCTGCTGCTGCTACTGCTTCTTTTTTCTACTCTTCTATTTCTTGTTTCTTATTTGGTTTTATTTATTATTCATTTTTCATTTACCGCTGATTCTAAGCCCGCCGTTTTCTTGCTCATTTTCACTTGCCGTCGACGACTGACACAGTTTTCCGCCTTGCACATAATTATCTTGAGTGCTGTCGATGTGGAATGGGCGGTGCGGGGCACTGATTGCCACTAAAACGCGGTACAAGAAAATATTAAAAAAAAAAAAAAAAATTAAAAAATATAAAAATATTTTTAATACGCTCCGCACTCCATGGACCACGCAGACCAAACTCAAACTAAAGCCAATTTTTTGCTCTTCTCTATGAAAAATTTAAGGAATTTGAAAACTGCAAAGTGTATCGGATGCTAAAAGGTAATTTAGCTGAAACTTTAGTCTTATATCCAATTTGGTTATCTGATTATCTGATTATCTGATTATGCAAGCATTGGATGTGTCTGGCCATTGGCTAAGCAAGGAGAGTCAGAGTGGCACCAGTTATCCATATCTCAGAGTAGATCTATTCTTGATCGTAGTCCAAGTTTTCTTCTTCTTCTGTCTTGCCGGTTGCTCTATTCACAGCCTATGAGAGTTGGAGATATTTGAAGGCTGTTTCAATATCGCTTGTGAAGAAGCGAGCTCAAATCATTTTTATAGACTGAATCTACTGAAAACAGACGTTTTGCGAGCTAGAGCAAATATGATATCAATGTTTATATCATATATCATATCTATATTTTCAGTATGACAATTTGAGTCAATCTAGAAATGTTCGTCTGTACGTATGTATGAGCCCGTCGATCCTGGATCCTACTTCTTCTATAGGTTCCAATCAAGTTTTTCTCATATAATCAATAAATATTAATATTTCCCTGACATAGATAAAAAACGTTATCGATTTTCAGTTATTTGATCATATCATTTACGTTTGCAGAGCTACAGTCAACATAGACAAATTTGCTTTATTTTAATTTATATTTCAGCTTTTGATTAGCAATTTAAAAAAATTGATTTCAATTGAATTGAAGTTGAGCTTTAAAAATGCTGCAAAGAAGTTTGATTTAGTAATAATAACTAAACAAAAATATTCCAATTAATATCAATTTTTGTAAATTATAAGAAAAAAATATTAATGAAGCCATTTGTTGCCAAGTCAAAGCTAATAGAGTTACTTCAAACAGCACGACAGCAGCTCTGAGTTATCTTCTAGTTAAGTAATCTAGGACTAGATAATCGAACTAGTCTCTAGCTCGTTTTTATGGTTCAGCATTTAAAAGATGCTTGAAAAATATGGATTCTCGCAAAATATATATTTTTATATATTTTAAGGGATTTTTTTTATAAGATAAATATTGAAATGTTTGATTATAAATGAAAGAAATATCAAAATGTATTTTTTTTTTCTATAAAAGAAACACTGAAAAGTATTTTTTCCTTTAAAACAAATACTTAAATGTGCTTTTTCTTTACAATAAATACTAAAATATATTTTTTTCTATAATATAAATTAAATACTAAAATTTATTTTTTATATAAAATAAATACTCAAATGTATTTTTCTTATATAAAATAAATACTTAAATTTAGTTTTTTTTTCTATAAAATAAATTCTAAAAAGTATTTTTTAAAAAATAAATTTTTTAAATACTAAAATCTATTTTTTTTTTAAATTCAAGCCAATCCGAGCTATGGAATCTTCAGCAGGCATCTCTTCTAAGCTGTTCCGCTTCTAGTTACAAAATCGACGTCAAAATAATATTCTTCCCTTTCATCTTCTGTTGTTTAGCATAATGCTCTACAACTTCTAAACAATTTGTTTGCAATTTGATTTTGCTGCCACAGTTAAGCTGCTTTCAACAGATTCATTGGCCTTAACGAACTCAAGTCCAGACTATCATATATATGTATCTGCAAAGATAATTAATTCAGATGATAATTCTCTTCGTTGCATTTCCCTAATCCGATCAATTAGTCAAAGCGATTGCACAGAACTAAAAATGAACAGGCGATTAGATGAAACGAGAGTTAAAATTGATGCTCATATTAATGTACTACAATGTAGGAGCCTTCGCTCCAGCTAAAGGGGAGGGTGGGGGCGTATTCATGGGAGAGGAGAGGGGCTTATCGTGCGAGCTGTGAATGAAATTTCTGCGCTGCTGGGTGCAAGTTAATCGCATTGTCTAGCAGCACAATTGAAGCCAGCAGTGGGCTGGCTGGCGATGGGCGAAAGGGGGTGGGTGGGCGTGGTATGTCGCGTCGCACAGTTAGCCGCAAAACTCAATTTAAATGTCGCTTGTAATTAGATTTAAGCGAATTGCGCCTCAAAGTATGCAGAAGCAATCGTTGCCATTTAATTAAAAATTGCAAAAACAAGAAAGAAATGAACAAACAAACAGAGAGGGAGAGCGAGAGTGTGTGTAAGAGAGAGAGAGGTAAACGTGCCTCGAGCTAAAAATGCTTTTGTATTAATTATTTTCATGTAATGCAATCAACATTGCAATAGCAACAACAAAAGTGCAAAGATCAACAGTTGCAGCCGGAAACGAAGTCAACAACATGTGTGTGTGTGTGTGTGCTTGTGTGTGTGTGTTGAGTTATTAGCAAATATTTGATTTATGCAGACAACAAGAGACTGTGACAAAGCCCAAAGTCCAACAGATGCGCAGACATTGACATTGGCTGGGTGGTTGGGTGGTTGGGTGGCTGGCTGCGGCTGGCTGGGCGTGGCCACAGGCAGTTATTGCGGCAAGTGGCACGTGGCAAGTGGCATAATTGCTCAACAAGCGACGCCGTCTGACGCGCCCAAAATGCGCCGGAAATTACGAAAGTTGAGCGTACACAAAGAAAAATTAGTCGTTGGCTACTCTAAGTGGGTGGTTGGCTGGCTGCACAGATCTCTGGACACCATTTACCTGCAGCGTTTTCCGCTTTTCTTTTTTTTACCCTTTTGCTAGTTTCGAAAAGAGGCGAACAAAAATATTGTAATGTTTGTTCAGCGGCGACGTTTACGCTGCGCAAATAGCGACGAGAAGCGAGCGCCAAGTGGGCGAGGAAGGGAGGCAGTTTTTTAATTGATTTTGTGACACGGTCGAACAGCGTTGCGTCGGGCACAGGTTGAGCAAACAGAAATGCAAATGTAATGGGGGCAAACGGCTAATGGGAAAACTGCGCTTAAAGTGGAGGCCAAAAGGGTTATAGCTATGGATATATATATATATATATATATATATATGTATTTATATATATATTTTATATATATATGTATTTATATATATATTTTATATATATATATATGTATATAGCAAATATATAGATACAAAAATGTGTTGCCATTATGAATTTTGTAAAAAAATATTCATATTTTGTGGCTTGGCTTTTGGTTTCTAATAGAACAAACATAACAAATAGTTAAAGCTGATATTAAACTGAAGTTTATAGAATAATCTTTAAGGATATTCTTCTAAAACAGTTTCAGTTCATAAGCTATAGAGCTAATTGCTTGAAGTTAGCTCAAAGCTTAGGCTCAGGTTCAGTTTTCGCTTCAAGTTTAAGCAAGGTTTTGCGCGTAGCTTTAAGTCAGTTTAATACATCATTCGCTGCTATATAAGATATACCATATCATATATCATATATAGAAACACTATATAGTAAATTTAATGAAGCACTCAACATGACTACAAGAACAAATAAAAATAAAATTTGGCACAGGGCTCTTCAGGGCTCTTCAGGGCTCAGCTTCGCCTAAATTGTTATGCAACTGCTGAAAATGGAATGCATATGGATAGAAGGAAATCATGTGTATTCAGAAGAGTAAGCTTTAACGATCGTATGTGATATAATTAGTGGTGGTTGCGTTGTCCCATATCCTATATATGATTTTATATTCCCAGCTATGTGGCGTGAGTCTCTGCTCACGCATTCACACGCGGCTTCTGCTCGTGGGCCACAATCTATAGCCCACTTCGGTCTGCTATATACCTGAGCGAAAAACCAATATGCCCAGTTGGCAGACAATGAGGCAGCCAGTGTCTTGCAGGTATTATATTTCAAAGGGCTTCTGCTTGGTGTGCAGTTCCGTGCTCTACCTATTTGCCGGATGTGGCTGGCGCTTGGGGTCTGTGAGTCTGCCGTATCGCTGACATTTGTGAGAGACAACCACTCGAGGGCCAGCCACCGCGAGCTGCCACCACTCGACAGTTGCTCCGTCGGGGCGCACTTAATTATGACAATTACTGCTGCTCAATTGCAGCGTCTCCAGTTTTTCCATAAGCCTAATTTAAGGCATCGCGTTGCATGGCGAGGGATGAGGGTGGCGGGCGTTGGGTGGTGCCATTTTGCTTGGCTCATTTGGTTTAATGGCTGAGCTTCAGTACGCAACCTGCGCTTTTTAATTAACTTAAAAAAGAAATCAATATAAAGAGCAGCGTTCAAGGTC